ACATCTGTGACTCATAGTTATCAACCCTGCACAGAGCTGCTGTCACTGCTGTTTGTAAACCATCTCAGCTGTCTGTCTGTCTGTGTGTGAGGTATTACAAAAGATTCTGAAGAGCTGTTCTTGAAACTTTGTGGAGTGGTTGAAGATTGCGAAAGAAAGAGCTGATAAACTTTTCACAGAGGGTACACGGCTTTTCATTTAGTCATATAACTTTGGAACTCATTCACAGAGCACTATCAAACACTCCTAGTTGCAAACACTACATTGTTGGCTCAAATACACAAGGTCACAGAGGTCATTCCTGGTTAATTGCTGTGCTAATTTCCCCAGAATGTGGTGCAATGGGCTGTTCAGTGATAACAGATTAAAAACAAAGATAGCAGGAGAGGTAAAAAATAATAGCTATGAATTCATTTCTTTACTTTTTTGATTGTATTATTATATTCTAGGCACAGTTGCACTGAAAACTAAATGCTAATGTCAGCATGCTAACATGCTCACAATGCCAGTGCTAATATGCTGATGTTTAGGTAATGTTTTCCATCTTCACCATCTTAATTGAGAATGTCAGCATGCTAGCATTTGATGATTAGCACTAAGCACAAGTAAAGCTGAGACTGATGGGAATGTCATTAGCTTTGCTTGCGGTCATAAAACAAAAATACTGGACAAAAAGTTTCTTTATGATCTCCTTATGATAGTGCAAGATGAACAGTCCGGGGGTCACCAACGTTATGAGGATTCATCCTCTGGGAGTGCTGAATTGTTTTTTTTTTTTTTGGGGGGGGTGGGGGACGACAAACAGATTGCAGTTCTTTTTTGAGGCAGAGCACCCAACTCAAATTCAGTGCAGGAGGTGAGCCTGTTTCTTTTTCTAACAATGCTGTTTGTCCACACTGTGTTTTAATAATCACCAAGGATGAATAAAACTTTGTTCAGGTATTTCTTATATTGTACTATATCTGCACTCTTGATGTAAAAATGGTAATGAGGCCAGGATTAAACTGTAACCTTCAGGGTGACTCTAATATGTGGAAATGACAGCTGTATAGCGTTGGTGGGAGTATGAGCTCCATGTGAGCCTGCAGCAGTGACAAACTTCACAGTGCTATAACAAAGATTGAAACTGCACTGACGTCCCATGGAAATATGACAATCATGATGTGCCAACTGTTCTTAAAGGAAGTTACCAGTTTGTGACAGACATGTGAATGCTGGCCAACTCTCATTCCCACCGCACTATGAAAATGATGGCAAAGACACTGTTTTTATTTGTGCTCAGGTGCAGGAATCCAGACTGTCCAGAACTGAAAACAATAGACGAGATTCAAGCAGGAGTAGTGACACATCCTCGTAGTTGCTATGCTGCACACAAACAGTGGATTATTTTGATGCTGTTTTGAGTCTATGGTAACTTTAAGGTGATATGTCTGAGTGAAGAAACGGGACAATGGACTTCCTGTCATGCCTCCATGAGCCTTGAGTCTTTGTTTTTGCAGTGAATAGAAACCATCCCTCCATTCTTTACAGCTGAAAGAAGAAAACAGAACGGATGAAGTATTGAAGTGTTATTGGCGAAGGTAATTTCCCTGTCAGAGTTCATTGTGTGGATACTTTACAGTGTGAATCAATCATTAATCACAGGTGGTTTGAGACAGATTTATGACCTCGAAATATTTAATTAATGTTTTTCCTATATTATTATTATTATTTATTATTATTATTATTATATTTAATACACATTGTTTACTGCAGCACAGCACGCTGTAATTAGCATAACAATAGAGCATCACACAAGAATTAACAAGATGCACTGTGAAGGAAAAATATCAGTGCAAAAGGTGTCGAGCACTTCCTGCGAATCAATTATCTACACAGATTGCTCAATCTATTAGCCTGAAAAAAGAATCCTCCTTTACTAAAGGTTGAAGTCCTTTTATCAAGGGACCTTATCTTTATTTTTACTCGGTAAGCAGTCAGAATTGATGAGGAGATGAGGGGGAGTAGCATTTCTACTGAATCGTGCAATCTATTACTCATAATGCATAAAAAACCCCCAACCAGGACAAGTGGGGACACCTTAAGATTGAGATGAAGTTGGCTGGAAAGCTTTTGAAGAATTACAGGTTTGTGGAAGTCTTGGAGGCCCTGTTTGTTTTGAGTTTGTTTTGTTCTCAATCCTGTTTAGCCAGACACCAGAAAGTAAGTTAATCTGGGTCTTAAATTCTCATAAGAAGCTGTAAACATAGTCGTTACTCATTCACCAAAGTAATTACAATATAGCCGAAAATAGCTTGCATCGATACTTCACATAAAATAGATGAAAAAGAAAAAAGTGGTAGAGTTTCCTCTAAAATTGTAGAGGAGATTTTTTAGTGAACCATGTGCATGAGTCATAAGGTTGGTTTTAGTGAAAACACCCATCTATGGTCTCCAGCCCAAGTGGCCATGAAGTCATCCCCTTTGCCTTGACGTGATGTGAAGCAGTCATTTGTCTCCTCACACTAAGCTACGTTTCAGCAGACAACCCAAACAGCAAGGTATTTGGACGCCCCTACCCGTTTCTCGGCACCTGTGCCAAGATGTGATGATTTCATGACCATGGCATGCTGTGGATCCAGGATCAGAGTACATATTTCATTGCGGACAACAACAGCAAACTTACCTGGATGTAAACATTTAGATAAAAGTTCAGTCTCTGGCGTCTTTGCCCACTCTCAGCACCTCCCAAGGTTTTGTGTGTTTTTCCCCTCTGAGCTCCGAGTGGGAGTTCTTCTTGTTCTCAGCGAGGGTCTTAGTGTTTTCATCATGTGGGTTCTGACAGGCCCAACGAGACTATGCATAACAGTGATTAAGGGCTACACAAATAAACTGGACTTGAAGAGCAACCTGGGACCCACACATTGAACATTTTGGTCTTTAACTCTAAATATCTTTAATGTCTTTCAACTCTCAAACCACACAACACTTCTATATTTATTTCCTGTTATAAAAGTTATTTCCCTTTTTAAATTTGTTGAAGCAAACTATGTTTAGACATACAAAGAGTCTAGAATAAAAGGGAAAGGAATTAAGTCTGCATACTTTTGCCATGTAGGTCACTTTACATAAATAGCTCAGCATTTTGGGAAAAATGCGTGTTTGCTTGCTTTCCGAGAGTTAGATAAGAAGATTGATGCCACTCTCATAAATGTCAAATCCATTTGAATTCTGAGTCAGTTTTGAAGTACTGTAGTATTTCTATCTGTCTGCCATGCAAAAATAATGGATAACATTATATCTCAGAAAAGTTGAAAAAAATTGAAATTGGTTGTCATACCACAAACTTACAGGGTCGTTACCTTATCCAGGAGACTATAGATGGACTGTATTGATCCTCTTATAAACTCTCAAAAAGAAGTAAATAAGCATATCTCCCAGAATGTCCAACTGTCCCATTAAAATGTAAACCTAAAAGTTACTTGTGCCAGTCTGAGTGATAAACTGAACTCAGCATTGTATTCAGAGTAATTTCTTATTGTCATAGAATAACTAAAGGTAAAGTAAAGCTGAATGAAGGTTGAGAAAAATGTGTTTCTGGTTTGCATAAAATGTTATTAAGACAAATTTTCTATTGGTTTTCACAGTATTGATGTAATCTAGAAATAATCCTCTAATTTGTGTCTAATAAGTGTCTGTTATCATCACTTTTTTTTAGGTTGATTATGTAATACAGTTAAGTACATAGCGACCAAACCCTGCTCTTACACACAGTACACAAGAGGCATGATTCAGTTCTCCCTCTGACTGAGAGGTGACCCCACTGTGCCTCCCTCTCCCCCTCCCCCAGCTGACATCAGATGTTAAACTACAAGAGCACCAAAATTGGCCCTAGCCCAACTCTGAGATAAGGAGTACGCACACTTGTGCGTGCACACACACACACACACATTCGTGCGCACCCAACCACCCACGCATAAGCCTCCCTCACACAGCTTGTAACACAGGCCAAAACCAACAAAATGAAGTGTGCACATGCACACACACACACACACACACACACACACACACACACACACACACACACACACACACACACACACACACACACACACACAGGATACAGGACTGAGGGGGATGTTGTGTGTGATATGGTGAACAATGGGGTGCTGACGAACACCCCCTTCAATAGCTTTGACTGAAAATACAGAAAACAAAGCTGTTTGTGGCTCAAGGCTAGAAAAGGTTTCATGCTGCTGTCAATCACTTTATTAATAACCAACTCAGATGTCATCCAGATTAAATGTCCATGTACAAATACAAAAGGTTGTAATTTAAATTGGCTACTATTGCTATCTATTCTCTTTTGCCTCTGAAAGAATAACGGCCTAAAATATGTAATTACTTACAATTACACTTACACAATGCTAATATGAATTTATGATGGTACAAGTAATTATTTTGCAAGTGATTCATCAAACCAGTGAAATGTTTCATTTCGATTAACTTGACTGTAACTTGGTTTTATCATCGTGGGTAATTTCTTACACCGATGAAAAGATATTATTTGCTAAGTGCTTGATGCGAATGTTGACTTATGGCGGGACAAACGGTAATGCTACACTTCATCTATTTGTATTAGGGCACAAAATGACTGGCGTGATCGAGAGACGAGACCTGCAGGTGTTAATGCAAGCATACAGAAATCATCACACACATACATACAGTACATACACACTCCCACAGAGAGGTCCCCACAGAGTCTCTCTCTCTCTCACATGCACACACACACACACACACACACACACACACACACACACACACACACACACACACACACACATTCCATCACAGTTTCCTCACAGGAGTGGAAAGAAACCGAATCCTGGTCCTTAAAGGAAAACAAATGGAGGTTCTGCCAAGCCTGTGGCTGCAGTGCAAAGGAAAACTCCCTCCACCTCCCTCCTCCCAGTCAGACCCGCCCCAGGTCCAGCACTATATCAAGAGCCTGCCTCCCTTTATCAAACTCCACAGTCCTGCTACAGTGTACAGCTGTACAACAGTCCTCTCTCCTCGAGTTCTCTCTTGACCAGGCAGTCTACCATCATGTTTTACAGCCAGAGCATCACCAGTGGTCCCATGATCACCAGACAGAGCCGTAGCTACACATCAAGTGCCCCTATCCACAAGGCGCACAGCGTATCCGGTCTCAGCTTCAGGGGAGCCCCTCGCATCTCCTCCTCCTCTGTACGCACCGTCTCCTCCGGGTATGGAGGTGGCCTGGGCATTGGGATAGGCAGCGGTAGCGGCTTTGATCTGTCCAGTGCCCTGGACCAGAGCTCCGTGCACCTGAACGAGAAGGCCACCATGCAGAACCTGAACGACCGTCTGGCATCCTACCTGGAGAAGGTCCGATCTCTGGAGGCGGCCAACACCAAGCTGGAGTTGCAGATCAGAGAGTACTACGAGAAGAAGGGACCTGCAGCAGAGAGGGACTACAGCAACTACTGGGCAATCATCAATGACCTGAAGGACAAGGTATTGTGTGTGCCAAACTTAGCAGCTTCAACACCAGTCACGTCAAATGTTTGTAGTTCTGTTAATGATTATCAAGGGAGGATTTTAAAAAGGTACAAACATAACTATAAATTGCCATGCCATAACCATGACATGACAACTTCCCTAGAGACTTTATGATCTGTTGTGCTACTGAATCCTTGTTTTTTTTTGAGGGACATAAAGACTGACGAATGATTTCTCAACAAGATTTCTAAACAAGAAAAGGTTGACAAGTGTTGGGAAATATTATATATATATATATGACCAAACCAGATTTAGCTGTGGGACTTAGAGGCATGTGAAGTTAACTAGTCAAAGTTAAAACCAGTTTACGCTCCTGCACCAATGTGCAATTAACAATTCAATAGAAACTTTTGCCTTTTTAACCAAATCCTATTGTCATTGCTTCCCTAAGATCACTGCCGCCACCATCGGCAATGCCAACATCCTCCTCCAGATTGACAACTCCAAACTGGCTGCTGATGACTTCAAGACCAAGTAAGCATGAACCCTCATACTTCTGTCGACCTGTCTTCATCTTGTATCAAACAAGAGGGAGAAGAAGTTAGTTAGTTAGTTGTCGCTAGTCATCGCTCTCTACTCTCCAAAGATTCGAGCATGAGCTGATGATGCGCCAGTCAGTCGAGGCTGACATCGCCAACCTGCGCCGCCTCCTTGACCAGACCACCCTCACAAAGGCCGACCTGGAGATGCAGATCGAAGGCCTGCAGGATGAGCTGGCCTACCTCAAGAAGAATCACGCAGAGGTGACTGATGCACTTCCTCCATCTATAATGATTACTCCTCGCTTTGACACCTGCAGAATTCTGAAACCCTGCCAATAGATCTTGATGCTGACTTCTTTCTCCCCTTGGTTGTTTAGGAGCTGGCAGCACTGCGCTCTCAGCTTACCGGCACAGTCAACGTGGAGGTTGATGCCGCACCCCAGCAGGACCTCAACAAAGTCCTGGAGGAGATCCGTGCCCAGTACGAATCCATCACTGACAAACACCGTCGCGACCAGGAGTCCTGGTTTAATGAGAAGGTGAGAAGACTCTGCTATAAACAAAGTCTCTGTATCCCACACTTTATAAACGACTGGGTTTACTCCCTCAGCAGTCTAACCTGTAATTAAACATAATCTTCTGTGAAAGTGAGACAAGCAATTACCAGGACTTCTAACTGACTTTATTTCTCAACAGTCGGCAACCCTGACCAAGGAGGTGGCCATCAGCACAGAGACAATCCAGACGTCCAAGACAGAGATCAGTGACCTGCGGCGCACACTGCAGGGCCTGGAGATTGAGCTGCAGTCTCAGCTCAGCATGGTGAGGAAAAAAAACCCTTAAACCCAAACCATCTGTTCACATCTCACTGATCTTGCCTTATATGAGCAAAATTCCCAGATCCCTGTCTTGTCAGGGGGAAATGGAGAAACACACACTGATAGAGGGTAAAGAGCAGAAGGGAGGGTGAAAGAAGGAGGCTTTGTTGAAAGAAAGAAGGGAGGTAGAGAGAGAGATAAGAATGATGGGAGCTGTGGAGAAGGGGAGGGAGGTGCTCCTGCTGAGGAAAACATTTCACAGACATCTGCTCAAAGCTTGTAGAAAACTGCAGGAATGCTGAACTGGATAGCCCAAAAGTCTTACTCCCATGGATTATCTGTGGCGAGCTGGAGTTAATCACTCAACACTCCCTGCGAGAGGAGCACACTGCTCCTGTCTAACAGTGGAGGAGCAGCTAAAAGACCTATACATACGCCTCTGCTTATCGTTCCTCTATAAAGGAACGTAGACATCCCTTTGTGTCTGCCTGACGTATATAATCCAGGGTGTGGCAGGTGGTTACACATTATAGCTTTAAATTGTCTGAACTGTCACAAAAGATTAATTACAATAAACCTGGCTTGCAAATATGAGCAACAACATATGTGTTGCAATTCGTGTGCATGGATTCAGCGACTTTTTCCTCTCTTGAACAGAAAGGGGCTCTGGAGAACACGTTAGCCGAGACAGAGAACCGGTACAGCGCCATGCTCGCCAGCTTCCAGAACACAATCAACATGCTTGAAGCAGAACTAGCCAACGTGCGCGCCAGCATCGAACAGCAGGGCCAGGACTACAAGATGCTGCTCGACATCAAGACCAGGCTGGAGCAGGAGATCGCAACCTACAGAAGCCTGCTGGAAACAGAGGAGTCCAGGTAGACACAATGAAACAGGAGCTGAGACTTCTGCTTAATACAAATTATTTAGAAGATAATGCACATGACCACTCCTCTCACTGCTTTTCTTTTTTCTCCCCTCTCCCTCATTTTAGACCCATCAGTACAGGTAAATGACATTTGTTTAAATAAGACATTACATAAGCACAGTGTAGCCACTGTAATAAAATCTCATAGCACTGCCATCATGATTTTTTTCCCTTCTTTTTAACAGGGGGCTCAAAGACCACAGTCACAACCACCCATGTGCGCACTTCCAGCTAGAAGGTCCAACTGGCAGGACAAGCTGTTTTCGGACACACAGACACACAAACACACACACACACACACAGACACTGACTAATAAAAGCTGTTACACGAGATGAGTGAAACTGTACTGAAAAAAAACCTGAGATATGTTAAAAGTGAAGCCCGTGTTAAAGTTTATGTATGAAACAACAAGTAACTCAGAAGAGGAAATGTCGGACACGGTGTGTGTGTGTATGTGTGTCCTGTCTGAAAAATAAATCTGCTGGTGATCATAACTTTGCTGGTCTTTTATTAATTTAAAAAAACAACAACAAAAAAACAAGTCAACACATCTTTTTCCATAACATCACCCTGTTTATGCAGTTGTCATGGCAACTGCATGACATTCTGGGAGGTGGGATATGGGGTTGCGGAAATCTAGGTTACGTAACAGGGGCTGTTGTCAGGAAAGGGTGAACAATGGTTAACAGCTCCAGTGTGGAAAGCATTAGGAGTCAGAGAGAAGAGCGCTCAGAGGGCTGTGTTGAGCTCGACGCTCTCAAAACTCAAACAGCACAAGAAAACATTCAGAAAAGTGCAAGTTATGTGACCAAATAAAGAGAGTGACCCTAGAGTTTGCCCAAAGGGGTTTTTTTAAACAAGACACACCCAAATGGTTGACTAATCTTTGCCCTGGAGGCTTTTCAACACAGTGTTGCATGGAGTCTGTCACCTAGTAACAAGTACACATGTGGCTCAGGACTGAAACACTGAGTGGGAATGCAAATACTGACTAACTGAACAAAGAGAGTCATTGTGGAAACAGGTGCTATCGGTACTGCACTTTGGCCCCTTTTATGAACTCTGATAGTGAGTAACCACCGAGCAGTTATGATAAAGTATTGTGAAGGGTGGGGTTTCTCAGCTGTCGGTGACCAAATGTATGTTTTGTGTGAAAGAAGAGCAGGGAATTGTTATGTCCATGTGGTGTGTGTTTGTGTGTGTTAGAGAGAGAAGCAGAGAGGGAGTGAAAGTATAGCCTTTGAGCCTCTGTACAGGTCAGCAGTTACAGCCTCTAAAATTACAGCGAAATCCTGTGAAGGCTTCATAATTCTCAAATGATGGTGTAATGTTGGTTTTGGAGACGAGAGAGAGAATCCAGCCCCCTCTGAGGAGCTTCACTCACCCATATTTGGACCCATTTTGTTGCACATCAGCGTCTCTTCCACTCTGTTATAATGATAGCTGATGACAAAGCCCTTCCAGTAATGCTTGTAAATTGATATGAAAATCCACAGCAGAGGTCATAAAAAGATGTTGCACCAACATCAGACCATTTTACCCACATCAGTGTTAAACCCAGTGGTCCTGTCAAGGGCAAACTGTGCAAAGGCATAACTGCAATTCCAATTGCATCCAACATCCAATTATAAGCGAGCTAAAGCCAAACCTGATGAGTTCTTCAAAGGCATCACTTTCTGACTTTTTAGATATATTTGTTTGTCATGTATTACTTTGTCTTGAAAGTCTTTTATCATGTCTAAAATGTACCACGGTGTCTCTCTCTCCCTTTTTATAAAAATAACTTTTCTGTAGGTGGTTTCAATGTTTTTCTGTAGAAGATACAGTAAAAACACTAAAAGTCTCTAAAATATGCATAGCAATGTTCATAATACATAATGGCAGTATGTGATTACAGGTTATATTAAATGTATTTGAAAATATAGACCTGAGAATCTAATGTTGCTCATGAACAGGTTAAAATGAATGCATTGTAGCATTTGCAAAGACCCTGTTGTTTAATTTGGATTTAGGGTTTGATGATAAACACTAGAGAGATAGACTGTAAATTTTAAAGAAATAGTTTGACATTTTGAGAAACATCTTCATTTGCTTACTTGTAGAGAGTTAGATGATGAGATCCTCTCATCTCGGATGCTAAATATGTTGGAGCCAGCAGCCAATTAGCTTAGCTTAGCATAAAAACAGCAGGAGGAAACGGTTAGCAATGGCTCAGGCCATAGGTAAAAACAAATTATGCCATCCAGTATTTCTAAAACTCACATGGTATCTTGTTTATATATTGTTTGTTGTTGTTTAAAAGTGTAAAAATTTGTGGGCAAGAAATACTCATGACCCCCGTGTAAAACCAAACTGCACTTTGTTTTTTGTACAGATAAAGCATATGAGATAGAACTGTAACTTCAAATCTAGGCTAAAAACCCACCTATTTAGGATGGCCTTTAATACCCAGTAGTATGATAACACTTTTATTTTATCTTATCTTAATCGATTTTGTTGTATTTTATTGCTCTCATTGTTCTTTTATTATTTTTTTAATTGTTTTTCACTTATTTATCTTAGGTACGCCGAAAGGATTGTTGTAAAGGGCTGTATAAATAAAGTACATTTACATTTACATTTAACTTGTCAAGTTTAGAGGATACTAATAGGCTGATTTTTTTTACCTGCGGACAGAGCTAGCCTAGCAGTTCCTTCCAGCTTCAGTCTTTTTGCTAAGTCAAGCTACGGTCTCCTGGCTCTATCTTCATATTTAGTCTACAAATGTCATCGGTCTCTATCACATCTTATTCTCAGCAACAGAGATATTGATATTACGTTCACGAAAATGGGACCTACATATGGACAGACAACCCCAGAACAATACGCCTTGGGCTCTGGCTGTCACCGTCGCGTAGGCCTAAAAGTAATAAGAGCATTTTCCCAAAATGTAGAACTGTTGGTTTCATTACTGTCCAGGCTGGAGTGAGAGCCACAGTAGAGACAACCCATGGACTTATACTAAGACTCAGTTCTGCACAGATCAATCAGAAACTGAAAACCCATTGCAGCCAGTTCTCTGGAGATAATGATCAGAAGACATACGAAACTGCAGCTAAACATGGACAAAAAAAACGCCACAACAACACTGTCACCTGACTTTTATCAGTTAGTTTTATGAATGATAACTGAGCCATCCAGCCAGGCTACCTTAACTGGAAATGGGAGTGTTGGAGTACTTGCTTCAATTTGTAGTGGAGCCTCACCTTGGCATAATAATGAGCTGTCATCATAAAAAAATAAACTGTTATGAAATTCGGCTTAATGAAGGATTTAGTAAATAAGGGCTAGACAGACAACGGTGACATGAATAGGCAGACTGTCTGCACGTGGCTGCACAGAGGAACATGTAATGAAGCAGTGCCAAGCTGCCAACAGCCATTTCTCCCTGTTGTGGCTGTCTGCCATTCAAGCTAGCCTGAGGCGAGAGTGAGAGTGAGATCATGGGAGAGGAAAAGAAGATGTTACTCACTTGATGTCATGAAATACTTTTCATGTACAAGAGATCAATTCAGTCCAATTAATGACGAGTTAATTTGAGAACATGAAAGCCAGCATTGTTGGGTACTTTGATGCTCTCTGCCTTGATACTGTGAAACTGTGGGAATAACCGTAACTTTCCCACGATGTGTCCAATCCTTTCTTGTCCTGCAACTAAATCCCTGTTAGCTGTATGGCACAATGTGTTATTAACAACTTACTGTCATCAGTGGTCCCAAGCTCAGATTTACACAGAAAAGAGCTAAATACTCTTAACTCAATGTAAAGAGTTGATTTTTTAAATTAAACAATGTAAAAAGTCTTATCAGATAACTCATTTGAATGCAGGCCTCCTGTATTTTCAGTGTGGTATTTTACAAACTAACATAAAGCTTTCATATCAGTGAAATGTTTAGTTAAGTATTAGTCATGTCTGCAACAGTTAAACTGGAGGCTGACGTCCGTATCAACAGGAATGTTGCTGTCTCAGGGTCAGAAAGTCCATTAAGGGGCTGGAGAGAGAGAGAGAGAGAGAGAGAGAGAGAGGGAACATTCTTCACTCGGCTGGCGGACTCTATTCTGGAGCAGTGTTAGGTTTGACACACAAGCTAACAGGAATGCCTAACCTCTTCGCTAAAGGTCTCAGACACTGTATGGCATCAGATGTTACTGTGAAAGTTTTCAAACTGTGCCCGAGCTGCAGCGAGGCGTAGGAACAGTCGAGAGGTAGAGAGTGGAACAAGACCAAATACGTTTCAGGGGCTTTCAGGCCCTGCCAAGCATGAGACAGATGTGATTTTTCATCCATTTGCATGGCTGTGAGTTTCACCGTCCAGTGCAAGCAAGAACAGTTGCTGTCTGTCCAGCCCCACCATTAAAATACAGTTACCAACATTCAGTATCATCTCCTAGTGTTTAACCAATAATGTTTGAATAAAAAAGCGTGGGGCTCTGATTGCGGTGTGCAGGATGGCTCAAAGGTGGGAGTTTAACAGGTAGGGCTGGTTCGAGAAACCACACCCTACATACAATTCCAAGAGCATGTAGACCAGGATGGACCTCCTTAGGCGGGGCCCACAGTGCTTACAACAAGCTTAGCAGTATTCTATATACAATGCATGCTATCATAAAAGAGTGAGCTTGTGCAAAGAATAGATCTGATGCTGTGACATTTTTCTGTAGTGACTGTAAAACAGATTTTTCATACAACATTCAATTTTAAAGCATCCCATGGGCTGGGTGTATGTGTACTGGAGCATATCGCAGCATGCACTGGGTGGAGAAAGCCAAACCTAGAAATAGTATGTGATTAGAAAAATACATCGTGTTGAAATCTCTTCTAAGATTCACAGAGCTCAGAGAGTAACTACCCAGAGAAAGAACTACTGATCAAGCCCACTCAGAGGCAGAGTGAGGCACATTTTCCCTACAAACCTGCTACTGCTGCTACTGTAGCATGACTCTGATTTTCCAAATTCTAAGTCCGTGTGAATTTGCCTTGAAGGCTCACAATAAACTTCAACAAAAGTGCATTCATTGCACTAGTTGTAAAAAAAAAAAAAAAAAAAAAAGCAGTCATAATGAACCTGATGATCTGTATGTAGCTCTATGCAACAAATGTTAGGAAGGGGAAAAATCCCAGCAACAAGAAAATTAAATGTGCAAGTGAATGATGTGGATAAATCAAATCGGGGCAAGTACAACTAAGGCCCATCTTGACATGGGAACGTACCAGCCTGTCAACATGTTGACGCCCTGACCCATTATCACTCAGTAGTTAGAACTACATTATTACATGACTACTCAGCAATCACTGGTCGGACCACACCTATCTTCAAATTCGGCCATCACTTTGATCTCACCTACACACCTGTAAAGGTACATGACTGTATCTTGCACAGGTGTGACACTATCAAGGTCACAAATCTGTCCACACACCCACACACACACACACAAACAGACAGACATATAATCA